TTCAAATACATATTTTCTAAGATTCTGTCTAAATTTAACGTTGGTAAGCTGTAAGCTTTTAAATAGACTTGTGTAACTATGAAGAATCTTGTGCTAAAATCTTCTGTGTGAGAAGCTACTCTGAGCGAATGTTTTGTAAGGTTTGAAATATGTAAATTGGATTTGTTTTCAACTCAGGGGAGACTAGTAATCATAGCTTTGATTCTAGGTCATAAAATTAGATCTCAGACAATGTCACTACCAATTTTTAAAGTATATTTGATTGATTATGCTATTACAATTGTCCCATTCCCCCCCCCTTTATTCCCCTCTGCCCTGCACCCTCCTTCCCACCAGCAACCCTCCCCACCAACCTTAGTTCATGTCCATGGCTAATATATATGTGTTCTTTGGCTTCTCCATTTCCAACACTATTTTTAATCTCCTCATTTATTTTGTACCTACCAATTATGCTTCTTATTTTCTGTACCTCCTTTCTCATTCTCTCCTCTCCCCCTACCAGCTGATAACCCTCCATGTGATCTCCATTTCTGCGATTCTGTTCCTGTTCTAGTTGTTTGCTTAGTTTGTTTTTGTTTTGTTTTGTTTTTAGATTGAGTTGTTGATAGTTGTGAGGTTTGTTGTCATTTTACTGTTCATAGTTTTGATCTTTTTCTTAGATAAGTTCGTTTTACATTTCATATAATAAAGGCTTGGTGATGATGAACTCCTTTAACTTGAACTTATCTGGGAAGCACTTTATCTGCCCTGGACTTCCTGGAAGTGTATTTCCTTTGCCAGATTAGGGAAGTTTTCCTTCATTATTTGTTCAAGTAAGTTTTCAATATCTTGCTCTTCCTCTTCTCCTCTTGGCACCCCTATGATTTGGATGTTGGAACATTGAAAGTTGTCCCAGAGTTTCCCAAGCCTCTCCTTATTTTTTTTTTGAATTCTTGTTTCTTCATTCTGTTCTGGTCTAATGTTTATTTCTTCCTTCTGGTCCAAACCGTTGATTTGAGTTCAGGTTTCCTCCCCTTCACTGTGGGTTCCCTGTATATTTTTCTTTATTTCACTTTTCATAGCCTTCTTCCTCTATTTTGTGACCTTATTCAACCATTTCTGTGAGCATCCTGATTACCAGTGTTTTGAACTATACATCTCATTGGTTGGCTATCTCTTCATTGCTTAGTTCTATTTTTGGAGCTTTGATCTGTTATTTCATTGGGGCCATATATCTTTGTCTCAGCGAACCTGTTATGTAGTGATGGGTGGAGCTTTAGGTATTTGCCAGGACCAGGCAACCCACTTCACTGAATTGTGGCACTGTATGTGGGGGAGGGGTCTGAAAGGAAACAAAACTGCTTGCTCAGCTCTCAGCCAGCTTTCAATCACTTCTCCCACTATCCACAAGCAAATAGGGCCCTTCCAATGCTTATTCCCTGGGTGGGTGGGTTTGTGTACATTCTAGGGCCCTGTGGGTCTCTCCAATGAACTCTTCTGTGAGGCTGTTTCTCCTGCTGACACAACCCCCACAGGTTTTTACAGCCAGAGGCTTTGAGGCTTTATCTCCCCACACTGGAACCCCGGGTTGTGCCGTCTCTCTTGCTCCCCTGTAGTTCCTCCCAATTTATCCACACACAAATGTGGGACTGCTCCATCTGCCAGCTGGTACCTTGCTGTGCATCCTCTTTGCCCCAGCTGCCTGTCTCCACCCTTCCTACCAGCCTGGATGAATGTTCCTTCTTTCACTCCTTGGTTGTTAGACTTTCATACAGTTTGATTTTCTGGTAGTCCTGTTGTTTTTTGCTTTTAGTCTTTCTTTTAGTTGTGTGAGAAGGCAAAGTGTATCTATCCATGCCTCCATCTTGGCTGGAAGTCTCCCAATTTTTTTAGTGACTTTTGAAGTATTAGTATTTTTTTTATTGGAGTAAATTTTACATTGTATGAAGCACCAACCTTATGTGCACATTTTCATAAGTTTTGATAAATCTATATATCTGTGTAAGAGTCACCCCAATCAAGATATAGCATCATCTCCAAAAGATCTCTAGTCAGTACCCCTCCCCATAGGCAACAATGGTTCTGATTTTCTATCACTATCATGAGTTTTGGCTATTCTTGAATCATCTTGTGTATGTGTGTGTAGATTCTTCTGTGTCTGTTTTCTTTCATGTTTTTGATCCGTGTTATTTGATGGAATGTTTTTATTAATGGTATTATATCTGTGGTTCATGTGTTTTTATTGCTATTATTACATCTATATATATCACAATCTTTTATTTTGGAAATTTGGGTTGTTTCTAATTTTTGGCTATTATGAATAATGGTGCTATAAACAATTTAAAAAAGTCTAGTAAGTGAAAAGTAATGGTGAGGTTTCCAAATTTTTTCTTATAATCTGGATGATCATGAAAATAAAACCACCATCCAGGGGATTTATATGTGTTCTTACAAATGTATCACTGAGGCCCCCAAATGAGAGGGTCACCTAGAGGCAGATTTTGTTTGAATGGGCCTACTTTCATAGACATGACTTACAATGGTGTTTTAAGGGGAGTTCTCAGGCCAACCAAATCATCACACATGTCAAAATGAATTTTGGTGTTGCAAGGACATATATATATATATATATATATTCATTTTTATGGTAACCTTGTGTTTATGGCAAGTAATGATGGTTTTTTCTTCAGAGTATTGATAGAGGTTCACTTGGCAAATTTAAGACAATGATGAAAAATTTCCAGGAAATATTTCAGTTGGAACTCAAATTAGTCAAGTTTCAAAACACTGGCATTGTAGTTTAGACTGTAGAGCTAACTCACCCTGCTTCAGCCACTTATTCACTGTGTCATCTTTAGCAAGTAACTCTCAAAGTTTGCCTCAGGATCTGTAAAATGGGATATTAATACAGACCATACACTGCTGTGAGGATTAAGTGATAACATATGTGATACTCATAGCACACAGTGAATGCTTGATAAACTATTCACTGCAGGAATCAGCAATCATGTGGACAACCAAACACCAACCAGTGACTGAAGGCTAGAACAGTTTTGGGTATGTAAGGTCATCATTTCTGACACTCATGAAACATTCATGAGCTTCAAAGGACATAACTTAAAAGGTATGCATCAGCAAAAGATACTCTGACAAGAAAAAAAAACTTCACTTCTGACATTAAAAAATTAAGATCTCAGTTACAACACCTCAAATCTCTATCACTCTCTTCCAGGCAAACTCCACACTCCAAACCCAAGCACTAAATTTTCAGGTTACAAGGGAGGAAGGAGTGAGGGCATGGTGTGCAGGCCAAGTGGTTCTACCCCGACTGAGCATTGCAGTCACCCAGGGAGCTTTTCAAGAATACTGATGGCTGGATTTACCTGTTGTGGTTTGACTGGTCAGGGTGGGACCCTCCTAGCTGTGAAAACTGCCCATGTGATTCTGATGTGGGATTGGGCTCACCAACATAGGCTCAGTTCAACTTCGGGCAGCAGGGTCGGGTGGAAATGTTTAAAGCTGGCTGAGTACAACCCCAGAACTCTTCCTGAGAGGTGAATTCTGCAGGCTACTTGGGGAGATTAGAGTAGAAATAAAAAGTCAACTTTGTTTTAGTAGATCTTGTTTATTCCTACAACTTAGAGGGAAGGATGGGCTCAGTTTTTTGATCAATGGTACAGCTTTGCATTTTTCAGGCTCCTTTTGCAGTTTTTCTCTGGTTATAAGAGAGGAACACTTGAGGGCACTCATTACCCATCCACAGGCCCCTTTCCTGACCCCAACTGGTCTGGCTGGAGGCCCAAGCAGTTCTTTGTGACCCAAATTTGGATGTTTCTGAAATGCTGTCAGAGTGGTGGACCTGAGTCCACTAAGCTACCCCAAGGACTAACAAGGTCACTAAAAGCAAGTTGGTCATTGTCAATCAGCTCAGGCCAGCTGCAGCTTCCCGTGTATTCCTGATTCCCCAAGGAAGGACCTGAACCCCATTACAAAATATCAGGTTCAGGGAAGTCAGTGATTCAAAGCTTAAGGGGTACCAGACATCTAAATCCAATTTGCCAATTTCTTGGGGGAAATCTGGCAGCTTTCTGAGCTCGCCCAGAGGCAGCTGGGTAGTCTGTGGGAAATGGCTTAGGTGTCATTTCAGAAAGCTTGTACATCAGAAAGGCCCCCAACTAGCAGACTTTAGGAAACTTCTTACTTATCCTCAATTTCCATTTCACTTTGCTTCCTGATCTTGGGTTGTAGGTCTATTTGGCAAGCAAGCACTTTTCTTTTGGGTCTCTTTCCATATACTCACACACATAAGCATGTACATTTTAATCTGATTGGTATCATGTTTGTAGAATGTACTAAGTCAATACCTCTGGATTTGATTTGCCATATGGGTTGTTTTCCAAGTAAGATCCAAGGTGGAAACTGCGATTTGGGAAGGCCTCAGACTTTGGGCCTTTTGGGGCTGGTGCCCCTCATTGTCTCCACTGATGAAGAAAAGCTTACAAATAATGCTGCTTGGGTACTGAGACTCCTGCCTACCCCCATCCTGTCTCTAACCCTGAAATTATTGTTGCCTGGAATTACTCAGCAAAATCATCATTTAGAATTATTTAGGTTCACTGCATTGGTGCCAACCAGTAAGTGCTCAACCAGTTTTTATGTAGTTATTGGTTCTTAAAAATGATGTCAAAAAGAGTCCATCAATTTAGTTAGGGCCAGGCTGCCAGATAAAAGTGAATACTTGTTAAACACATAGCAGCTTGGAAAAAAAAAGATAAAATAGTAAGGTGTATTAGATTCAAAACAGATCCCAAGAACTAAAAATACTAAGATAAAGAGGAGGAGAGTCTATAGCTTCAGTCTTTGGTATCATCCATCTTACAAAGTCTATTAACTATACAAAACTAGGAAAAGTCCAAAATAGTTGGATATATTTAAGCTGTTTTCAACATGTAATTAGAATTGCATATTAAATCTGCTTTTCTGTATTACACACAGAAACTAAAAAAAGAGCAGGAAACAAATTCCCAAGGATGAAATCTCCACATTTATTTTTCTTTCATGTGCATAGAAAATGGCAGTGAACTGTCCTATGAAAGAGGCAGGGAATGGCCATGGCGCTGCTATACCAGACTGGACTTTGTGCTTCAAAGGTACACTACTCATTGTTAAAAACAAAAGATGTAATTTGTTTTTAATCGCTAACAATTCATTGGATTCCCCATTTGTTTTCTCAGCTGTCGTTTTCTTCAAATCTCTTTTCAAATGACACACTGCATTACAAATGATGGCACTTAACCAATGTGGCATTTCCATATTTACACCAACAAAAGAAATTTACAAGACATAATAGCATACAATCTTGACATTTAGTAATAGCAATAAAACATGAAGGGCATCCATTTTATTTCATTTTCTGTACAAACTATCAGAACATAACTTTATTCACATTAAAAAAATCATTTTTAATTTGATTTGACCTACACATACCCCATTTCCTTTCACCCATTCCCCAAATCTCTCATCACATCGCCCACACCTTCACCAAACTATGGAATCTACAAGTAATTGGATCTGACACCTAAATTAGAGCTTAGAAAGTTCTCTGTCTCTCAAATGTTTCCTCACTTCCCTGATAATTCCTCAAAAAAGAAAAAAAAAAGCTCTTCACTCATTCCTTCCATTTCACTTTCACATTTCATCAGCAAATCAGCACAACAGAATTTTCATTTCAATCCAAACGAAGGTAGAAAGAAAGAGTTCCTCTACTGAGCATCTTGATGCTACACCCACGAGTCTGGGGACCCTGGGTACTGTTCTGCTCTATAAGAAGGTCGTTTAGTGGAATAGAAGTCTACGTAATTTGTGGTCGATTTCAGTCCATACTGTGTTGAATAATCAGTAGAAGCTGGAAAGTGAACTCGGTCATCAAAATAGGGATCTTCATAGCGATGAGGAGACTGCAAATACAATCTGTATGCATCAAAGTTCTTTCTCTGCGTGTCATCTTGACTGTAATAGAGCTGTTGATGCTGTTGACAAAATGAAAAAGCAAATAAATCAAAGCAATTTTTGAGAATACATGTTAAAGGAAAATTAATGTGGACTTCCTGCTTCATATTTTTAGAGCAATATTCAAATTTTTTATGAACTTATGTTTCAAAGTTGTTTCTGGTATACACTGTATATTTACTGATAGACTAAGTATTTTGAATTACAGTTACAGTTGGGCTTGCAGTTTGTTCAAGTCCTGTCCTATAACCTCTAGAAATTCATGTTTCAGGAAAGCCCAAGATAGCCCCAGGCTAGCTTCCTCTTCCTCCTCCTCAGAGGCCCAGTTTGTGCCCTGAGGTGGAAAGACCTGTTACTTGGGCATGCCCAAGGAAAGGATGGCCTTGATTATTGCGTTGACACAGGGGAATGATTAACACATGATGGATTAAGTTGGGGGTTGGCTTTTTGGGCTTTGGATAGTTGTACCATTGTAGAACCATCTTTTACCTTAATTTTTTTGTAGAACCATTTTTTAAAACAGGTACCTCAGAGAAGAACATTGACTCCATCCCTCACTTCCAGAGGAATATGTAGTCTGGTGAACAACAGTTACACTTTGGACACTCTGCTGTACTACTAAAAGAATAAGCAATCTCCAGGCACAAGAGCAGTAAAATTAGAAAGGACACATGAGTAAATCCAATTCTAAATGAAAATTCTGCCCCAAGCCAAGGCTAATAAATTTGCTTATAAGGGAGCAAGGTGAACCATAAGTGGGCATCCACACAGGGCACCTGCTCCTATTTCCTTTGGGGTTGTCTTTATCTCTGACCTCATATCAGTTTCTTCAAATATGTTTAGAGAAAAATTGTCATGTCTTTCTAATGTCTGTGTTTCCTCTTGATCTTGCCCAAATTCCCCCACTCAGTAAGATTTGACAAATTTACACACAGATTATCAACATCATATTCTGGAACTAAATGTATTCTAACATTATATGAATTAAGAACTAAATTCTTTGTAATTTAAGAGTTATGATTCTGAGAATATTTCTCCTGACTAAAAAACTATAGTATAAATTATGAGTAACTTGGGAAGTTCCTTTCCTTCCATCTACAGAGAAAAGGTGATGAAATAGAAGGAGGTTTTGGAGAATCCTTATCTGAAAGATGGGATACAGGCTTGCTTGCCAAACCCCACTTGCTCATGTGTTACTGGAAGGTGAGAGGAGACAGCAGATCCAGGAGACCCAGGCGGACATGACATCAGGAAGGACCACCCTGAATTTTAGGCCTCCCATGAAAGCAGACTGAATGGGTACAGTCTATGGGAGAGTGGGGTTCCCTCCAGCAGGGGTGAGACCACTTTCACTTCTGAGACTAAAGGAGACCTGGCCATGGACTCAAGCGTTTTCAAACCATGGGAGTCTGAGCGGGAGGGAGTCATGAAGATGGAGAATGAGGTGCACAAAGAAGAGAACCATGAGATGAGAAAATGGAGTGTGCTCATCAACCTTTCCCCACCCAGAGGGAGGAGGAGATTTTAGAGATTAACAGGGAAAACGACAGTGTGGAAAGGAAATTGTTGGATAAAGAATACGAGTCAAAGACTTCACAGCATGTTCCCATCAGTGGCATGGTGGTCTCAGCAGCACCAATTTGGTTATTCAAGGACATGAGGCTACTGTGCAAATGATTTGCTTAAACCATGATGAGCTTCCAAGGAGTGAAGACCCCCAGAGAAAGCTACTCAGCCCCTGCTGTACTGGCCCAGCTCTGGTAGGTCACCGGCGCTGCCCCCTTACGGTATTGATGCCTGCTAATCGGCCTTCTGTAAAAATGATATTGCAAATTCACCTGTAGCCGTCTATTTTGTTCTCTTGCTGGTGAGGAATAGGAACTGATGTAAATTGGTGAAGGTTTGCTGGAGCCTGTAAGAAAATATTTTATGAAATTAAAACTAGAGCTCATTACTCTGGTCCATTAAGCTGCATGGGCTCTCTTCACTAGCACTGACGAGGCCTGCCTCCCCAGGGCCAGCAGACTGGCATTGCTTGGGCTCCCTGGACCTGGCCTGGCTGCTGCCTACCCTGGTGCTGTTAGGAGCTAACGAACAGGCTGTGTGTGCTTCACCAAAAAGAAATGCCAATGCACAGCTCATCCAAAAAGGGTTCCTTCTCAACCTCTGGTCATCCTACGGACTGGTCACACCTGAAGATCTTCCTGGCTGGCTCTGAACAGCAGCCTTACTCCTTTAGACTGAGAAACATCACTTTTCCAAAGCTATGAGCTAGAACACTGGGGTCAGACAGCAAAAAGGAAACATTAGAGCAAGCTCCGTGCCTTTAAAACAGCTTTGATTCCAAATTCCAGGTCCTGGAAAGAGCAGGTACAGGTGTGCTCTAAGTAGTCTGGCTACATAGAGGCATATTGTGTTTGCCATATTACTACTTTTTACTTTTTAAAACAAAAATAACCTGGTGATTAATTGTCTTTAAGAGTCCACGGTAGACTCCTGATGCTGATGATGTCATAGGTTACCCTTCTATTATTGTTAAGGCTAGCAAAGATTTTTACCTGTTTTTTTTTTTTTAATGAGGAAAATGAAACATACTTGAGGCAAATTAGTTTATTGAAGCAAGCAAAGATTCAGAAGGGTGTGCATGCTAAGAAGGCAATCTTAAAATAAAGCAGGCTGCTGCAAATCTGAAGTAACAATGCATTTCTGTTTGAATGTGCAGTTCTTTTGCAAAGAGCCTGATGTTGGAAGTGTAGCATATGCAATTTTCTGAGCTATTAATTGCCATAGTAACAACAGTCGATTAGTAAACAGTTCTGTGAAATCACAATTTCAAAGACAACAGCACAACTGAGACTGCTCCCCCAGCAGTTAAGTTGCCATCAGCTTTTCTTTCTTTTTAATAAATAGGTCTTTTGAGGAAAGAGTACTTTTTCTGATAGCTCACACTGCCTTATTTGAAACCTCTAAAGTAGTTACAATATGCAAGATAGTTGAGAATAGGCACAATATGAAATCTTAGTAACCCTTCAGGTTGGCATTCTTTCAATCAAGTATATACATAGCTTTCAGAATAGGACACAAAATAGTAATACTAATAACATTATTTTTGTTATTCTTAAAAAATAATCACTCTGAGGAGAATCATATTATACATTTCATTATTCATTCAAACTTCCATTCGCAGGCCAGCCTAGGAGATATGGCCCTGCAAAGTGGCACAGAGCTTGGGTTCTCATGCGCTGGGACATACAGGGAGAGACCACACTGGAGCAGGCAGCAGGGGAGCCAGAAATCTTCTCATTTGGATGCAGTGCTCTATACCTCAGCTTATTTAACTTATAACAAGCAGAAAAGGCAACAGCCCCCCGAAGCAGGAAACAGAGAGACTGGAATGTGGTTTGCTGCTGGGGGACCGTCTCAGTGTAGGCACGGGTGATTTCCCAGGCTGCTGGCCAAGTGCCTGGGAACACACAGCTTTTCAAGGTACTCTATCACACACCCAACTGGCATCTTACCAGGGTACAGGCCTTTCTGTGTGGCATCCCCTTGGCTATTGTAATACTGCATAGGTGGCTGGGTCCTATCGTATTCAGAGCGAGGGTCTCTGATTCCTAACAGTGCTGGTGAGGAAGAGGTGCTGCCGACTGAAGGGAGAGGCAAAAGCAGGAGGGAGAGAGAAAGAGGAGAAGAAATAGAAATCAGATTGTCAGTGCCCCTGGAAAATCCTCTCTGAAAAAACAAAGGTCAGTAATTAGAAGTGCTGTGCAGCTGGTACTAAAAAGTCAGCTCTGAGCAGTGCTGAGTTGCACAGCAGTCAACCCTCAGTAACTGGAAGACGACCTGCAGGACTGCTACTGGGAAGCACTGTCAAAACCTGAGCTCACAGGCTGCCCAGCTGGGGAGGCACAGCACAGAGGTCAAGCAGGGTTCCCCAACAGTGGCCTTGGCCTAGATCAGGCCCATGACAATGAGCAAGAACAATGACTAGTCACACCAGAGTTACATTTTCTGCTGTATGGGCTCAGTTCATCTGCCTGGAAAACACCCATCTCTTATGCTTTATGTATAAGTTTTCAGTAAATAAATAGATTTTGGGGGGATATTTTGATTTGTAATTATTTCAAAAATATCTGCATTTTCAAATGTGTTTGAATAAGAGTACCCTGCCCATAAAATTTACAATTCTTTTTATGGTGATTGGCTGTGGTGATTAGGGAAATTATGTAAAATCAGTAAGCCCAGCTCATCCAGAATCTCATGGTGCTGAGAAGACTGGCTCACAAAGGCCCAGACTTTTTATTCCAGCTTGAGCTGAACACTCTATGGCTACATAGGTTTCTTCTTGGACATTTTTGCCTGAAAGGAAAATACTGCATATCTTTTTTTTTCTCATTAAAAAAAATCATCTTGCTTGCACTAGTTAATTATAAATTAGAGGTCACTCAGTCACCTGATCGACTTGAAAGCAGCAGCACCCAGACCCTGCCACCACCAGTGGGTTTGCATGCACCGATGCTTTCAAAGAAAGACTGATGTTGAAATTTTTCCCTTAAAACGTCTCTTCACTGCTGCAGGGTTGCTCTGTGTGCTTACTTTCTAGAAGGTGCTAGGACAGATAGCAGACCCACTTGCCTCCCACAAGTACGTTAGCAAGACATCGGAGGTGCCCACCAACAGCTTCCACACTAGTGCTCAGGGATGGGTAGTCAGTCCTTAGAGTAACTAGAGAAACAGTGTGAGTTACTCTACCTCTGAACAAACCCTACAGAGGTACCTAGGAACTTGGGTAGGGACTCAGCAACACTGATTGTTTTGTATAATCAAAACAAGTTCATTGTTTAGTAACGGTCTTTATTGGTCTGAAATTATTCTTTTGTCTGTATATATGCCTTCTTTTATGCAGCCAAGCCTCTTACTTCCCCTTGTATCCCTAACTGTGAGTCCCTAAAATAATTCTCAGCATTTTAATAAAAGAAGACAGCCTCAGGTGACACCTGGGAGCTGGGCAAGGATGTCAAATAGCAGGCACAGGTCTCTTTGAAGAGGACAACCCATAATTTAAAACTAAGATTAAAATATACACCATACACAGTAGGCACAGATAATTTTAAAAAATTCCTAGTACAAGTGGAGACATCCAGTTATGTGACAAAAACCACTGGTCACATATTAGTCTTCTTGGACACATATGTCCACATGAGAAATAATACTGCCAGTAGTAGCACAGTTGAATACAACTGATAATATTTATATGTCAGAATAAGAGATTTACAGTCAAATAAAAAATTACTTTCCCTGTTTCATTAGTTAAGAATTAAATTTATAGGACTGACTTGGTAGTAATATTCTGTCCTTACATGTAAAAAAAATTAGCCTGAATCTCAAAACATTTTTTCTACCAAATTAAACTCAACCAATAAGTAAGTAGCAAATCAAAGGGAATTCCTATAAACCTACCTCTAGGGTCTGCTCCCATCGGTCATGGAAGGAAGCTGCTGGTCTGGGACACAGCCAGGGGGTGGAGGTTTAACTGGTGAGGAAGGTATAGGAGATCACAACTCTCTCAGGCTGTGGGCATCAAGATCCTGTCTAAAGGACCTTGCATGAAAGAGTTTTCACCCAGAAAACTCAAAATCACTTTGGAGGAGATTCTAAACTTACAGCCAGCAGGCGGGCACAGCAACCACTTTCAGGCACAAATGTGGGGGTTCCCAAACTGTGTTCCTAGCTCTCCTGCACCTGCATCCCCAGGGCAGTTTGTCAGATGTGACTGGTGGGCCACTTCATAAACCTAGTGAAGCAGAATCTTGGGGGAGGGGTTGGGATGGAGGGCCCTGGAACACTTGTATGCATTGCAGTTGGTGTAAATTTGCATAAACTTTTAAAATGAAAGGATTCGTAAAGTGAGTTTGTTGCTTACAGTGGCAGTGATTCCCAGAGACTGGGGGAGCAAAGAGTGTTTGAATATGACAGGCTTAATCAGCTTATGTTCAATCTTATCTGGGTGAGAAACAAAGCCTGTCACACAAACATTCTCACCAAAAAAAGCAGAGTATACCCACTGACCTGACTGAATGATGGGTGACATCTGTTGGTTGGTGGTAGACAAGGAAGGATGTGATTTGAAACGGTCTCGTTCTAACGTTGATACAGGTGTAATAAAATGGTTCTGATTCCACCCATCCTGTGGAATTAAAGGAGAAAAAGAAACCTCTCAAAATGAATAATGACATTTCATTACAATAAATGACTATGGATGTGTGCTCTGATGAATGCTAATTATGCCAGAGCTATTCTTGTAAGTTACCTTTTTATAAATGCTCCGGAGATCCCGATATTGCCATAATGTATTCAAGACCTGGGCTGCTGCCTTCACCACTTTCAGAGATCTAGGGAGAGAGAGTGGATGTTAATGACTGTGCACGGCACAGCCTCAGGCTCCTACAACATTCAGGCTGCAAACCAGTGGCCAAGAGGCCGTCTCTCCAAGGACCAGACAGAGGGCATAGAAGCTGCTGGTAGAAAACACCACCAAAGAAGCAGGTGCACCTGGGAGTCGGTAAGTTCAGGGCTGGCCAGGGGTGGTGAGAACCAAATCGAGGCTCCCAGGTGGTCAGCTTGCAGTGAGAAGGTAGGTTTGGCATGAACCTGTGACCTTTAAGTTGAGGGCCTCTTTCAGCCTCCCTGTGAGAGAGGTCCCCAGCCACTCCCCTCCATGTCTCCCAAGGCGCTGACTTTGCTGGGGCTTTGGGATTAATGTGACCATGACCACACATCCTGAGTGTCTGAGGACCCTCTTAAGTTAATTTAATATGTCTCCCCCCATTATCAGGCCTTGATAAAACACCTTCATTGCCTTATCTTTTATACCTCTATGTAAACAAATGTACTTATGTGCTCTAATGTTTGATTTAGAAAATATGGTCAGTTATTACTGCCTTTCTCTGAAGACATGGTGCTGAAGCCAAGTGCTCTGTGTAAGCCCTGCTACCCTGAGTTACTGCATCTCACCCTCGGGCCGCTTCAGCAAAGGCCCTCAGATCCCCACGTTGCGGGTGGAGCAGTGCTCAGGGAGGCAGGAGTAAGGATGGCTGACTCCCTTTCTTCAGAATTCATTTTAACATTGAAAATTGACTTTAAATATACAACATGGATCCAAGATCTGATTTCCTTTTTTACTCCGTATCTTCCCAATTAAACACTCCTGAATACAGGAAGAGAGGTGAACAGGTGGTAAGCACCGTCTCCACCCCTCATAACAGGCCATCTGGGTTGCTAACGATTCCAAGGTCTTTGGTGAGGGCAGAGGAAAGGGAAATTCGGGGCTTCGCCCCCTCTGTTCCTGAAGGTAGGGCATTTCTGGATTCCCCCCCCTCCCACCAAGACTCCCTCTTCTCAGTGTTCCTGACAAGTGAAGGGCAGAACCAGGTCAAACCAACCCACTCAAAGCCTTTCTAAATTATATGTTTTCAAAATGGACCACAGAGCAAGGAGATACTTCAAAGAAATGAACAGAAATGAAACTTCAGACACCCACAGTGGACTCACAGGGTCTTAATGCCTCTCAGCCATCTCATTCTCAGGGTCCTGACTTTCCTGCATTTGTTCATCTCCCTGCCTTTAAGTACTAGGCAGCAGAGACAGAGGCAGAGAGGCAGACCCTGTGCCTGGCTCCCAGAGCTACCTGAAACACTCAACAAAGCAGGAGCATGCCAGGTACACGCCCTGACACAAACAGCTGGGCTACAGTATTTTTAGGGACAAATTCTATGAGCAGAAACCTGACTCCTGAGAAAAGCAAGGGAGTTTCTCTGTTCCCCTTTGCAGCGCAACTCCTAGAAAGAGTTACATATTCTCATCTCCAATTTCTCTCACCTTATCTTCTTTTAAACCTATGACCTCAATACTATTCCACTGGAGTCTCAACCCTCATCCCTATCGGACTGAGCAGGATCACATGGCATGTGCTCACCTTTGAAACACTTCCTTCACTTGGCTCTGGGATACCACTTGCTCCCGGTTTTCTTCTGAAGAATCTGGCTACTCATTGGGCTCCTCATCTCCTTGGCCTCTAACTAGGAGGGACATCGGCCCTTGAGCCTCTTCTGTATCTATATCTGCTTCTTTATTGCTCTCAGCCACTTCTCTGAGCATGCCATTTATACACTAATGCCTCCCCAAATTTGTATTTCTAGCCAGGACCTCTAATGCTGAACTTCCGCACATTCTCCTGCTGACCAGACACTCAGGTAGATGTCTAAAAGACACCTGAAATGTGACATGTCCAAAACAAACTCCTGGTCTTTCTGAAAACCTGCTCCTCCTGTAGGCTTCTCTATGTAGCTATGTGGCAATTCCATCCTACAGTATCTTTTGCCAAAGACCTTGGAATCCTTCTTTGACATTTAGCTCCTCTCACAGTGCTCGTGTAACCCTTTAGCAAATTCCGCTACCCTACCTTTCAACTGTGTCAGAACCAACTACTACTTCACCACCCCAACTGCTGCTGCCACAAGTTTCCAGTTGTGGGGACAGTTTAAAGGTATCACTACGATACCTTTAAGGAATGTCAGATCCTACCCTTTCTCTGCTCAACACTCCCAATGGCTTTCGGTTTTACTCAGAGTAAAACTCCAAGTCCTTATGCTGACTTTTCTTCCCCCTCCTTTCCCCTTGACTTGCTTTTCTGGTCCCACTGGCTTCATCACATGAGATACTCTCTGTCTCAGGGCCCTTCTTTTATAGTTCTCTCTGCCCGACATGCTCTTCCCTTAGAGACCATGCCACTCTCTCCCTTTCCTCCCCTAGGTCTGTGCGCAAAAAAGTCTCCCTGAGGCCTATCTGACCGCCTGTCTAAAGTTGTGATCTCCTCTCTCTACCTGCCATGCCCTATCACCTTCTCTGATTTTTTAAAAAGATTTATTTATTTATTTTTAGAGAGGGAAAGGAGGGAAAAAGAGAGGGAGGGAGAGAAACATCCATGTGCGGTTGCTGGGGGCCATGGCCTGCAACCCAGGCATGTGCCCTGGCTGGGAATCAAACCTGCGATGCTTTGGTTCGCAGCCTGTGCTCAATCCACTGTGCTACGCTAGCCAGGGCTACCTTCTCTGATTTTATTATTTGCCCCACCGCTCACCACCATCTGACAGGCTAAGTGTGTTTTTCCCTCAGTTGATGCCTCGCCTCTCTCACCCATGGAATACAAACTGGCTGAGGCTGGCAAACACACAGAGGCTGCTGTGTGCGCTGCTCACTCCTGCAGCACACAGTGGTAGGCAACACGTACTTGGCAAATATGTGATAAGGGAAGGTAAGTATGTGTTCAGCAGATAACTTGATTTGATGTAGGACTTTCTGAATCTCTTTGGAAAACAAGGATTAGATTTGGTGACTTTTTTTTTTAACTATACAAAGTTTTGGCACTGGTTTGGGATTTCTCCCAGCTTCTTTGTCTGCCTTTCACAAATGAAGGCTATAACAAAATTTTAAGAGCACAAAAAGTGATTATGGTACCTCTCCAGGGGAGGGGACTTGGGGGGGTGGGTGGGTTAATGGACTGAATCTTAGCTTTATTTGTAATGTTTCATTTCCTTTAAAATAAGAGTGTATGTTTTTATTATTAACGAAATAAAAATATACATAAGTAAAGGACTGAAAGGAAATATGGTTAATGTTGATAGGTATAGTTTCTGGAGGAAGAATAGATTTTTAGAAATTCCTTCAAAAGTATAAACTAAATGACAAGACTTAGTAAGTTCTAGAACTAATTGTCACTCAGCCAATTAATAATTATTTACTGAGCACCTATGTTAGGGGCCAGGCTTTGTTATAGGTGCAGAGAATGCAGTGGTGAACAAAAAGACAAAGTCCCTGCTACGGAGGGAGTCAGAAGCCAGAGGAAGCCATAACAACTTACAGGGGGAAAGCAGTGCTGTGAGGAACGGAGCGGGGGTAGGGGGTGGAGAGTGGGGCCATTTTACTAGGATCATGTGGCTGCTGTCCTCTTGTGTTGTGCGGGCACCAAGTAGCCTTCCTTTCCACTTTCTCCAAAGGAATCTCTGAGTTGAAACTAAGACAAATTCATAGCCATGCTATAGCTCCAGGACAAACACCTTCTATCTTTGCCATTGATTCTCTGATCCCTGCTTTTCTTGCTTCATCAATTAGGTGTTACCCAGAAGCAAAGTTAAACGCAGGAAGCAAACCAAGGGCACATCCTGAGGCCACAGAGCAGGCTCTGCTGCAGAGTGGTGGTTTTAATATTTTCTGGGCAGCTGCAGAGGAACCAACCCCTCTACAAAGGGCTGAAGATGTTCTTGCAGAACAGGCCTGGAGCAGAGCCAAAGGTGCAAGGGAAACGGGGCTCCCTGATTTTTCTCAGCATGGCATTTCTGATTCCTCCAGGGTCGGCACAACCAAATGTGACTTTAGAGACAAAAATGAATGTAGAGGTGTTATAATAAAGTAAAAACCAGAAAAAGGGCTATATGACTGTGAATGCCTGCCCCAGCAAATCCACTGGAAATGGTTAGCTTGTTGGCATATAAAAAAATGAAGAAATACATCCTTTCTGATAGGAAACATATCCTTGACAAAAGCCCTTCTCACAGGACCATCCCAGGAATTAGAGGCTTGTGATCTCATCTCCTTGCAGCAGACTTGCCTGTCTCCTCTGCCCTTGGTTATGTTCACCAGCTTTTCTATGCCCCCGGAGTCGGCCAGGGCTTTGGCGTTCTCCATGTTTTTGCTGGTGACCTCATGCAGAGCACAGCAGATGGCCGCCATGGTCTCATCAGACAGCACGCTGGGGCCGGTGCCTCCGGGAAGCCGGTTTACCAGGTCTCGCATGGCATATTTACCTGCCGGGTGCAAAAGATTTCATTCTACTTTTAGAAGGTTTTTGTTATTGTTCTTGATGAATTGTGACTGTGCAGTCTCTTAACAACAAAACCTCAAAAGAGAACATAATAGGTAAAGAAACCATGGCAGAGAATAAAATGAGAAATATTAACTGTAAGAAGAATGGTAACATTTATTGCAATGTCACTTGAAGAAGTTTCAACTGGTTTATAAGACATTACTGTAAATGGCTAAAATAAAATGTAAATCAGTGTATAAAATCAAGTTGCTTTAGTTCAACTATTTTCATTATAGAAAGAAAGAAAGGAATTATGATAGTAAATTTAATTCTTGATTCAATGTTTATGCATCAAAAATACCTCAATTTCCTTTCACAGCTTTTGAAAACTTTTTGTTGAATAAGGTTTAAAACTGGACAAAGTAAGACACCAAATAATACTTATCATTAAATCTTTCTTGATCTTACCATTTGAACTATGAACAGTTACACACTTTTATCAAGTTGAGAGTGTGTATCAGCTGTTCTGACATCAGTAATGATGACAACATGTTAGTTTCTTTTAAAGAAGACACAAGTAAAATTCTGGTATTATAATTATGGGTATATTGCTTCCCAGGACTAATTTAGTAATAATAATTAAAGTAATAATAAAGTTCTTGATAGGACAGGCTGGGGATCCACTAGCTACTGAAGTATTTCTTTAAGATACTCAATTTCTCTTACTCCTCTCTAAAAAGAGATTATCTCTCACTTTTTCAATTTCAATTACCAAGTGACAAACTGGAATAATTGCACTACAAACAAAAGAAATTAACTACAGTACAGCCCAAGTAAATATTTTCTTAGTTTTTTTCTTTCCTCAGTGAATACATGGACTTTTATTAAAGACCTATTTATACACGCTGGTAAGGAACAGAAGACAGGCCCTGACTGCATGCTGCAGAAGACACAGGGCTTCAAAGGGAAGACCAGCTTCCTCCCAGCGCACACTGTTATGAAGAGTGGAAAAACTGCCCTGATGCTGTAAGCCAGAAGATAAATGTGGTTTTTAAGATCAGATGGTAAGTTAGCACTGGTGATTTTGAATACTCACAAATGCCCAAAAGGTCCATGATGTGTAATTTGTCATTTTGCTAAGGTGTAACTTTAAGTTGTACTCCTGACTCATGGGATAAGCCAGCTCACTCTGCTGCTGAGTGAGCCCAGCGGTTCCCTCAGAGCCTGTAGCTCCAGACAGCTCGGTTGGCTGGAATATGCAGTAACTTTTGTGAAGGGACAAAACTTTGTTTACTTGTGAAAAATGGCTCTGAAGAGAAAGTCCACTGCTGGTGCTGGTAATGGACATGAGGAGAGAGTCAAGGGGTCAGAGAAGTGGATGAGTCACATACCGATTCCAGGAGGGGCTCAGACCTCTTAGGAAGGAAGGAATCTTTACAGAGAAACTAGAAAAAGTAATTCATGAAACAGGGCAAGAGTGCTCCAGGTGGGTAAAAAATAGTATTTGACAGTGGAGAGGGAAGAATCTCGTGGAAGTTTAAAAGGGAACTGGGATGTTCGGAGACAACTCAGGGGTGCACCAAGAGAAGGCTGACACTCTGCTGTTCATTTTCCCCAAAGATCTGGGCTCCAGAGTATTGGCCCTGCACCTTCTGCTCTCCTGTGTCTCCTCCCTTAAGATTTATGTTGTCGACCCTTTACTTCTTAGCATTAAGAACCCTCAAACTACATGTGCTCTTTTATAAAAAATTCTAATAAAGATTTAACAAAAATAACTTAAAAATATCTTTTTAGGGACCTCAGGTATTTCCTTGAAGGAAGTGTGGGGACTAAGAGTTCTGACAAATCTACTGGAATCAGGCATGCACTAGACTGTATGAACAGGGCAGGAAAGCTCCTTTCCTTTCCATGGGGAATGATTTGACTCAAAGAAATGATGTGTTAAGAGTAGGTTAACCCAGGTGATAATTTAAAATAGCAAGTGTGCCAGGCACTGTGTGAGGGGCTTTTCTGTAAGTTGCCAGTGAATCCTCACAGCAACTCTTTAAGGTAAACATTATTGCCCTATTGTCTCTTTCCCTCTCTTGCTATCTTCATTTTTGTCTCCCTCCCTCTCTAATGATGGGTATATTTTAATGAGTTCAGTGTACATATATTCACTAATGCACATAAAATCTTATGAACCACCCCCCAACCCACCTCCCCTGACCTGCCACAGCTGTGGGGCTGGCTGGGAACTTGGCAGTTTGTAAGCAGCTGCCTCACTCTCTCATTTTATTTACACAGCACACCCATCCATGGAAGGATGAGGACAGCAGGCATCGTCAGCTCCCTTCCAGAGACAGGCTGAGGAAGTTTTCTACTTAGATGAAGGAACTGAGCCCAGTGGGCTCAATACAGGACCACACTCCCCCTCCTCACACTCCCAGGTTTCACAGCCAGTGAGCAGCAGATCCAAGATTTAACCTGAGATCTTCTGGACTGTCTCTGGTCTTTTCCTCACTCTATACTCTGTGCTTGAGATGTGGCAATGACTGGAGACAAGCAAGCTAGGCTTCCCAGGGTGCAAAACTTGAAGAGGCACCTGCTCTCAGGTTCATGCAAGTGCCAGCCCTATGTCTGGGTGGACCTGAGGGTAAATGCCTCCTAAAATTTTGTATCCTGTGTCCCTCACTTGCCCAACCCTAGTCTGACACTGCCCTAGGATGGAAATGGCCTTGGGACAGTGAGTCTACTCTGTCTAGGGTTGAGCAATTACACAGACCTGAGGGGGGAAAAGGTACAAACTTTTTGCGTGGTTTCTTTTTCTTTAAATTTAGAACATTGTAGTGTTGGAAGCATCAGTCTCAAGAGTCAGAAATGAAGTAAACTTTTCTTGTTTCTCTAGAAATGAATCTCTCTTAGGAAATGGAGACATCAAATCTATTAAGTAGTGTTGTAATGTGTAAGTGAAATTGCTAACTTTTCTGAAAATGTACCTTCCTTAATCAAGATTTAATTAATGAATCTGCCTTTAGAGGAAAAGGACTGGTCATAAAGAACAGACAGCAGGGGTACCCAAATATGCAAAGAAAACAGGACCAGGACTCAGTTGCTAATAATTTTAAATGTCATATTTTTACAAATCAAAAGAAGAGTTTTATAAATGTAGTTGGTCTTATTCTCTCCTTATAGCTCACCTGGTCACCAGAACATACCTATGAGCTCCTTGTTGCGAACATCTAGTGCCATATTCCTCAAGGCAGTCGCCACAGAAGAAACCACTCTATCATTATCCATTCTCAGAAGTTCTACAAGGATGGGGAGCCCTTTTTCTTTGCGGACGGCTGCCCGGATGTACGCTGCAAACTAGTGAGCAAAGAGCAAAACAAGACATAAGTAACACAGAACAGAGTTCAACTCTCAGATGTTAATGTTGCCTAAAAATGATGTTTCCAAAAGATGAACTAATGGATTAAATGTTTTCTTTCCAATTGGAGATTAAATCTGTGGTGTCAGTAAAGAGAAAATCATAGTTTGGGATAAAGATAGGCTAGGATGATGGATTAAAAAAAAAAAATCCCAAAGTCTGAAAATCTTAAACCACCATCTGCCAGATATTTTTGTGCAGAAAAGAGAAGGCAGTGACTACTTTCTACCTCAAATACATTAACACAATTAAGGAAGAATCTCGTGTCTTTGCAGCTGGACCCATTGCAGGTCCAGAGGCTATAAATAGGATGGCGGTAACCGATCAGTGCACATTAAAAGGGAACCTGTCTCCATCAAGTCATTTTTCCCAACTTCTCTGCAATAATATTTACAGTACAAAACCTTTCAAAGAGATTCCTTGGAAATATCCCTTGCCTTGAAGAAAATGAATTCTCCAGAAACCCTGAGCAACATAACTCATGCACACTGGTGAAAAAGTAAGTATGTTTCTGTGTAAAAATGCTCTCTCATTCAAGATTAGTTAGCTGCTGCTGCTGCTGCTTTTAAAAAATCTGTAGTTAAGAAAGTCTTTCGTGATTATGAGGCAAGTCTGTACGATGAGTCAGTGTGTGTACTGTATGAACTGGAAATGAATGCTAAGTCATCAGGGAAACACCAACAGAATTAGAAAAAAGGTAACATTTGAAAATGGGTCTTTAATCTTGTTTTGAGCTTTCACTGACATTTTTACCAAGGCAAACTGTCTTTCAAAATTTAGGATAATTGAAAAATGTTGCTCATTAAACATCTAATCCTTACCTGCTGTGGTCAAGACATGAGGACAAAGATCTACTAGACCTTGGTACTATTTAGTTCATTAAAATATGTGATTTACCACTTAGCTTCTTGAATACCAAAAGAATAGATTATTTTAGTAATACAAATAAGAGGAAAGATGCATTTCAAAGATCCTATTAATATTTTTCAGATGAAACAAATACTCCTCTTTCTCAAATCAAATGAAATCTATAGCGGGAAATAGAATATATGACTGCTATAAGGCAGGCAACTGTATTGACCTTTCCCTCCCTGAAACCCGCAGCGCCCGCCACCCCCGTCCAGAGTACCGCAGTTGCCGATGCTCCCCAGATAGCTTCTGACTGGATTGCATCTGTGGCCATGATTATCTTGTTTTCTTAACAAGGGTCCAATATTTCAATTTACTATTTTAGACACTGTTCATATTGTGAATGAGCTTACCATCTAATTTTCATTCACTGGGTGATCCTGGAAATTAAATTCTAGACAACTCAAATCACATCTCTTTTAATTATTATCTTTTTTATTATCATCAAATGGCCCTGAAGTCACAAGCTGGAGGTGAACGCTGAGTCATTAGCAGAAATATTATGAATACTTATGTGCTGGGCACTGTCCCAGGTTCTCCACATTTATTGTCTCCTTAATCCTCACCACCACATCATGACGTAGGTATTATTTCCATTTTATAGATTAAGAAACTAAGTACAGAGATATCCAAGGTCCTAGCTAGTAAGTGGAGGAGCCAGGATTCAAAGCCAAGGGTTCTGACTCCAGAGACAGCACTTACAGGCGAAGCTATTAGCACTTTAATTAAAAAGAACAATAACAAAATGACCACACTGGCTTAGCGCTAGGCCATAACTGTCTGTATATATCCATTAACAGCAGCTGGTTGCATGAAATAAACCATACCCAGGCTTAGCAATGTTTTTTGCTCTTATGGATAGCACAGTGGCCAAAAGATTCTCATTTTGGATAGTGGTGGTGGAGGCAGCCAAAAACAAGCATTATAGTAATTCTACTAAAATACACTTGTCAGGAAATTTCTAGAGGTTAAAATCTTTCAGACAAGGATTGTCTGGGAAGTTGCTAGATGACATTTAAGTTTTGAGAACATGCTTAAAACAGTAATGGTAGGAAACCACCTTCAATTTTCATCAAGAAGTCACACACCTACAAGGGAATGTGGAAACTTGCACCATGTGTATGTTCTGTAAGTGTCTGAGAGGAGCAGTGGTCCCTTCTCCTTCCCTACGCCACTGCCCAACCTCAGCTCCAATTCAGGTCTTTGGCATTTCTCACATGGCTTCTCAGGGAACTCCCTGCCTCTACTTTCCTCTTCTTCGAATTCACTTTCTGCACTGCCATATCCAATAAGGTCTAACATTGGCCTGTGTCACTTGTTTGCTTAAACCCTTTCAGTGATGCCTCTGGTCTGTATTGCAGGTCAGGTCCCAGCTCCTGAAGCTTGTCCATCAGACCACCTCATGATGCCTGGCTCCAGTAAGGGCTGCCTCTTGCCCTGCCCTCAAATGATCCAGCAACCAGCCTGTAGTCTGTCCTCACTTTAAGGCCTTCCTTCTCTTGTCCCTTTACCTGAACCACTTCTTCTACATGCCCAACCTCAGACTCTGCTGGCTTAATTCTGCTCATTCTTAAATAGTCCATTTGGGCAGCACCACCCCTTGAGGAAACCTTGCCTACCTCTTCGCTCTCCCCTTTCCTTACCTTTCTCTCACATGCTGCTCTGGAATAGATGTGTCCTCTCTCAAGACCCCGCAGCACACACATCCTGTGTGTCTGCACTATAGTGACTTAAGCTGTCTGTTTTCCTCACTAGGCTTCAGGTGCTCACAGTGAGGGCTATGTCACACTCATCTCTGGATCCCCTGAGCCAACTACTATCTCCCCCTTTCCATTCTAAAACAACCATGTCTCTTTCACCACCACTGCTAACGTGAATGCGCAGATGGAAAGAAGTGTGGACAAGTGGAAGGCATCCTACCTTCCAGTTTCCAGCAGAGAGGTTCTGGAGAGATCCAGCAGAGCCTTCCAAGGTGGCTGGGTTAGAACTTTCTGCTAGAAGAGTCAGATATGGTTTTACCACTGACGGATGCCACAGCATCTCAACCCCTTTGGGGGACTTTGACAGCCCTGGGATAGGACCAACTCCATCCCACTGAAAGGCAAAGAGCACTCATTAAATGGGAGCAAATGAACACAATCTCCAACATCTGAAGACACCCCTCTATGATGGATTCAGCTGTTGCTATGAAAAGCTATATCATGAGAATTGTTTTTTTCTTGCAAATATGTGATTTCTTACTCCCAGAAGAATGAAACTTAAGTTTCATGTCAAATAAAATACTAACTTGATCCTCTTGTGGTGTTTTCTTTTTCTTTTTCTTCTTCTTCCCCCAGCAGCTTGGCTCTGAATCTTTGCTTGGAGACTCTTTTCCTAGTAAGTCATCCAATTCGTTCAGCCCCAGCAGCCGGGCCTGAGGGACCTCCAGTTCCAGCCGATAGGACAGGTTCCTCAGGGTGCACACGCAGTTCTCCACGGTCTGAAATCCAACACAGCATATAATTAAAACCACTGTAGCACATTCATGCAAAATGCTTCTGTACTGAATGCCAGTAAGATTAAATAAATGTAGAATATGAAAGAATTTCCTTTTTTATGGGAACATGAAACAATCTAAAGAAAATGATGACCCTAGAACTTTTATGGAATACCCGAATGAGAGAGTGCAGAGTCACTCTTGGTATTTCTGAGGATCTCATTTTATGCTAACTAAAATGTGCAAGGCCCTGGAAGAAAAAATGCCCAGTGCTTCTGCCTCAGGGCAGCTGCAATGGCAGAAATGCAGTCAGCTGCTAGAACCTCACTCCTCACCAGAAGGCCTTGCCATGAAAACAGGTGCAACCAACACCGCACCCCCTGACCCTGGGGACTGTCCATCCCCTCAACTCCCATCTTTGTCTCCTTCTTCCAACTCCCAACTCTCCCTTCCCTCTGGAAAGTACCATGATCTCTTTTCTCTGCTGACATTTTGACTTCTGTACATGGTCTTTTGCTCCTAAAAGTCTATTTCACACCTCTAATTGGGAAGCAAAATGTCATTTCACTAAGAGCATCTAAAGTCAAGTTCAGTTTTTGCTCAGCAAGCTCCTCTCTTTCAGCTTGCTTACCCTTCTCAATTGCATTTGTAGTTCTTTTGGTCCAATAAGGCTCAAATAAAAACATGGCTGTCATCCCGAATTCCTCCCTGCCTTTTCTTAGAGCCTACCACTCATCATTCTTCTTTTCTCTCTCAGACCCCTATTTATGACCCAAGGACTTCTTATGGCCTCTTCTGGTCCAGCCCATGGTGAACACCAAGTACCCTGCCCACCTTGAACTCCTGATATGTTTAGTCCCTCCTTCCTCGGGCCCTCCTCCTGGGATAATCCTGGATGGTTGTCACAGCTGAAAACTGATGAATAGATTGCCCGTCTGTCCAAGGCAGGGATGGAGAAAAGAGGAGGGGAGAAGGAGCTCATGCTGGTAACAGATCAGCATGACAACAGAAGGAGGGAAAGGACTGAAACTGGGGATGAAAAAGAGGCATTTAAAGCTGGTGCTGGGGTCAGGGCTGTGGACTGCTCTGAGGAATTTTGGTGTCTCAATTAGGAATTTTTATCCAGTAGAGATGCAAATACTGATTCTGGCAGGAGGAATACAGAACTGGAGAGAATAGTAGCAGGGTCAACCACCCAGACAAGGGGTCCAGGAGAACCACAGAGAATGTCAGGACCCTGCCGCCCTGCTAGGTCACAGTCACTCAGTTTTCATGGTTCTAAGACTATTTTCTTAAGTTGTCACATCCCTGTGAACTTGTAATTTTTAGAGAGACTCTCCCTTTAATCTGGGGTGTAGCCTAATGAGGAGGAGAAGCTCAAGAATTCCAGAAAGAATCAATGGCATGCAAATAGTGGTGATAGGCAGTTGGTGTCATTTGTCATTGTGCCTCCCTCACACAGCTGGGCAGGCACTGACCTTGCTGTCATAATCGGATGTGTTCACACATGTGTGGATCACGTACAGCAGCGAGTCCACCAGCCCTTCACAGGATCGCATTTGTTTCCGGGCTTCCTCCCCTGCGGAGCTGAGGTTCCTAAATGGGCAGAGACATGTGGTAGCTGCTAAGATCAACAATTCACTTGTTAGCCATGGAGCCTTACCTTAATGATCTGAAAAACAGACAAGACGGCAGCCATGCAGGTCTGCTTGGAGCAAGCATTCAGGGGGCTTACATTATAACATCCGGAGAGCTCACAAGAGCTAACTCCCCATTATGCACACAAAGAGAACAGCAAAAGCATTTCAGCTTTGTATCTCTTCCATGACATGCCACTTTCTAACCTCTTAAAATAATGATTTTGGGGCCTTTTCTCCTTAGTTTCCTCATATGTCAAGAGCAGAATAATAGTAACTACCTCATAGAGTTGTTGAAAGTGATGAGTAGCTGCATCATTTACAGCAACTAGAAAAGTGCATGCCACATAAAAGTCACCTGCTCGCCACACTTGTTCATTTTAGACATGCTTTATCCACCCTATTAGGGAACCTTAATGTTTTCCATGTAGTGGGTGTGGTCATAAATGCTTCTCAGATAAATACAGGAAACATAATTTCTTGTATAAACATTTAAGTTAAATATGGAAATTTGCTTATGCTGCAATTTTTAACATTTTTTCAATTATTTAAAAAAACCCTGAAAATTGTTTTTGGCCTCACCCACATTGAAATTTTTCATATTAGTATGTCTTCATGAATTGATACCAAATTATAAGGATCTATTTTATGCCCCATTAACAAGATTCTAGGCTAACTGAGATTTTTCAAATATTAAGATTTTTTGTCTCATCTTTATTTTTCTGGGGCCAGAGAATGTCACCTGCAGTCCCTCCTCTACTCTTTTCTTGTGTCACCTCTTAACACACTCCATAGCTGCCCTCTTCCATCACTCCATGAGCTCCTCAGCCCCCTCGCTCCTCTGGGTTTTCCTCCCACCTTGCTGCTTTTCCCTCTCAGCCTCTTCTGCTTCTGGGTCTCTCTGGAGTGTCCAGGGCTCTTTGGTCCATTCTTTACCTTTGCATTCTCCTAGGTGGCCCTTCCTTCTGTTCCTTGGCTTTAATACAACCTATCAACCCTTAACTTCGAAATGCACGTATTTAGCCTGACCTCTCTTCAGAACTTCAGACTCATTTCTCCAACTGTTTCTGTGACATAACCACATGGATACCTAATTAGACATCTCCAAAGGGATCTGGCCAACACTCAAAACTGCTCACCCCTCCCCATTTTGTCCCCCTGACTCCATCCATAGCACTTCTGTGCTCCTAGTTGCTCCAGCCAAAGATCTAGATGTTATCCTTCTTTCCCCACTTCCCCTCGACCCTGATATTCAGCCCACTAGCAAACCCTCCCTGCTTCACCTGCCTACTTGTGTCTCTAGTGCCTGGTCTAGGCCACTGCCTTCCTGTCTGGATTGCTCACTGCAGCAGCCTTGTCTTCTGTCTCTATTGTCGCCATACTCAGTTTTCCACATTGCAGCCAGAACCCAGTGCCATCACTCCATGATTAAAAACCTGATGGCTTCCCATGGCACTTGGAATAAAATGCAAACTCCTTTGACTTAAAAAATCCTACATAATATGATTCTGCTCCGACCCTTGACCATTCAACTCCAGCTGCAAGCTCATGCCTGCCCCAGAGCCTTTATGCTACCCATTACTGCTGCAGAGAACTCATGTCTCCCTGACACCCACCCTCAAATGAGTAGCTCCTATGGTATTTCAGGTCTATGGTTTAAATTTCAGCTCCTTATGGGAGACGACCTGATCATCAAAATAATCACTGAATAACTCTTATATCACCCTATTTTGATAGGTACCTATTGTTATTTTCTTATTTGTCTGTCTGTCTGTCTTCCCCAGCAGAACATGAGCAGGGACCTAAGCTGTACGGTTCATCATTGATTTCACAAGGAAGGGATTCACCAAATGTTTGTAGCCATGAATCACGGGTGAGCCTGAACATGTCCTGCCTCTGGGCTTTCCTGGAAGCCTGGCAGGCTGGCTGAAGAGTAATCACAGCCTCGCTGGATCCAGGTATGGGGAGAAAATGAGATGCTGCTTCCACAGATGATCAGTAGGTGAGCTGCCCTTTGATACAAGCACCCGAGCTGGGAACTGGCCTGTTTTCCAGAATCCTGACTCCCTCGCCCCGTCTTCAGGGCCAACAGTCACCTGTCACAATAGTGGAAGACTTCAGAGCAGCAGTCCAGGCTCCTCCCTCCCCCTCTTCCAAGCTCTCTGTTATAGAGATGTTTAGATGTCAAATAGTGCTCGCTGTGTGTCAGATACAACACTAAGCACTTTATATAAGCTGATTCTTCATGACTCTGAGGTGGTACTAATATCCCTATTCTAAAGATGAGGAAACAGGCTCAGAATGGGATGGGAAGCCAGGCTGTCTGAGGCCAGAGCCCACTTTCATCATCACTATGCTTCTCTGTTCCAAGACTTCCGCTTCCAGTTCCAGGGCATCTAAGCCTGGGAAATGGGATAGAAATTAAGCTGATGAGTGTTAATGGCAAACAATGAAAAATACTGTGTAAAACTTAGGGGAGGTTTTATAGATTATACATGCTAAAGATAATGACCGAAAATACTATTTGGGCTCACTTTCATTTATTTATAAAACCCAAACCCAATGATTGTTTGAACCACACACCTCTTTGTACTCTTTTAAAAGCAAAAATATTTTAACCTTCACATTTTGAACTTAAACAAAAACGAGGCTACAAGCACATCAGCAATCAGAATGTGATAACCAGAAAAATGCTCTTCAAGTGGAAAACACAGGAATTTTGGCACAGTTTCAGAATGAACGGTCTTCTGACTAAATCAAAGAAGAGTCATTTATATGATAATGTCTTTCAGGACACCAATCTCAGCTCATAATGTTTTCTTCACGGATAACGAAGTCCAATGGCCTCAATTTTGAAGCAAACTTGGAAATTCAGGTGGGTGTTAATAAAATGAACTAAAACTGCCCAGGATCAGCTTACCTATGTCATATTATTGAAGCACAGAATTAATTAGAAAGAAGAGATAAAGAATTTACCTCAGACAACCTGTTGTATTACGCAGAACGAGTGAAGTCTGAAATTTAATTTTATGATCATCATCAAAGGAAGCGTTATTCCATCCAGAATGTGGAACGATCACAGTGTTTGTTAGGGTTGAGAGAGCATCTCGAATGATTGTCATCTTTACAGCATCACATGAGGATAAATTCCAAAGAACTCCTAAAAATGAGATTTTAAACAGCAAATTATCAATTAAAGATCCTGCAGCTTCAGTAATAAAATAAACATATTAGCCCTAACTGATGTGAACTCAGTCTGTTCCAAACCTAATCTACTGCAACCGGGCTGGGCTGGACCTCTGGTAAATGTTGAGTGAACATATGTGAGCTTCTGGCAGTATTACAAAGTTGTAATAGTCCTTCGCTTAAGTTTTAGAGCCTACGTATCTGTCAAGCAAGGCAGCTATGGCTTTTGCAAAACAAATTAGTTACTCTGTGAGGGTAATAGGTCATAATGTAATGCATCTATGATTGCTGTCAAGCCATCATTCATTGAACTATCCCTGACATTCAATGTTCTATGAGACTAACGATTTTTAGAATTTGGAAAATTTCTCTTTCTCAAGAGCCTGACAAGTCTCTCCTCTTCTTCCTTTTGTTACTGGGAAGGCTCAAGCTTAATGCTGGCAGTAACTTTGCTGGCACAGAGGGTGGTTACACTTGCTTTATTCAAATAAGGCTTAGATATTTCTACTTCCCCTTTGAGAGTTTTATTACTATGTATTTTAGAGGCAGTGCACATTACTGCCACTCCTCCTTCTGGATACAGGTGAAACTCACAATAAATTAAAAGCCACTCTCACATTAGATTATCTTGATTTCTGTGTCAACTATGAGGTGGGTTATTGTTACAGTACACATTTCTAATAATTACTGGTTTGGAAATTACAGCAAAATCAATATTATACCTACTCTAATGTCATTTTCACATCAATTCATTTCCTAAGTAAGAGGGAAAGAGATGTTAGGGAGATGTTGCAGTTTCTCTGCGTCTGACGTGTCTCAGAGCCCTGTTTGCCTCACACCTCCTTGGCAAGCTGCTCAGAAGTCTGTATAGCACTCTTAGAACTGTCAACACACAGGAACACTTTTGGAGAATAGGTCGACAAACCTTCCCTCATCCATGGGAGCAGGTCAAGCTTGTGAACCTGAGAATAGTGCTGGGTCAGAGACAAGGAGGTGCACGTTGACCCAGGAGCTGGCATGGAAGCTGCTCAGCCTTCTTGGGGCCTGGAGAAAGTACAAGGCCCTTCATGAAGGACGGTGGTTAAGAGAGCTGATAGGAGCTTTTTACTCTTTTTGGAGGTAGGAGAGGTAAGAGCAAAGGACTAGAACAGAAGGTGGTGAAATAATGCTCTGATGATAACCTGAGAGGACCATCCCTTGCCCGAAAGCCTGCCTTGCTCTGTCTACATGTTGTGGAGGGATTGGTGGACACTGGGGGCTGATGCTTGGGCTCCAATCTGGGAAGGCGTCTGAGTGCTGTGTTCTCCACACTGTGCCTGCTCCTTTCCTTTTTCACTTGGCTTTGACGTCTGCACCTTGGTGACTGGCTTTTCCTTGTTCCCTAAGGACTTGCACCTTTCTCTGCTTGTACCCTTCTGCTGGGGCAGGGTGTCCAATACAACCCCAGCTTTTCAGGACCTCGGCCTCAGCAGCAGCCCATCCAGTCAGGCCTGGACAGGGAGGGAGATTCAGGCAGTTCTAAAGACCTTGGTTTGTCTCTGAAAGCTTGTTCTTTCTGCCATGATAGATCATTGCATATATATATATAACATATAAATATATATATATATATATATTTATATATATATAAATATAAATATAATATTTATTTATATAAAATATATATAAATATATATTTTATATATATAAAATATATATATTTAATTTTATTTATTTTCAGAGAGGGAAGGGAGGGAGAAAGAGAGAGAGAGAGAAACATCAATGTGTGGTTGCTGGGGGTCATGGCTTGCAACCCAGGTATGTACCCCATTGGGAATGAAACCTGCGACACTTTGGTTCGCAGCCTGCGCTCAATCCACTGAGCTACGCCAGCCAGGGCGTTCATTGCTTATATTATTAACTGTGGCTCCATACTTATCTATCCTCAAACTGGGCTTCAGTGTGTGTTTGTTTGAAAAAGGGCTTCATGCCCAAAGGCATTTGAAAAGCACTGTCTTAGTGGAAAAGTATTCGAGGACTAGTGACCACAGAAGGAACCTAGGAGCTAAGTATGAGTCTCTGGAGGTCTGTCCTGACCCAAATAACAAAAGGTGGTAGACGACACAGAAAAAAAAAAATGGGCCCTGGCCAGAATGGCTCACTTTGTTGCAATGTTGTCTGGTAAACCAAAAGGTGTGGGTTTAATTTCTGGTCAGGGCACATGCAAGAGGCAACTGATCAATGTTTGTTTCCCACATTGATGTTTCTCTTTCTCTCTCCTACCCTTCCCTTCTCTTTAAAGTCAGGGAGCATGTCCTCTGGTGAGAGCACAAAAACAAACAAAAAAACCCCAAAAACCCAAAAACAAAAAAGAAAGAATGGAATGAAGCATTGAATGGTATCATGAATAAGGCTTTAATACTTCCTGCTAACAAGGCCAACTACACTCATCCCAGGGCACCAACAGGACCTGCTGGAGCATGAGCCACCCACAGGGGTGGCAGTGGCTCAGAGCCCATTGGTGTGGACGGGTCATTTCATAATCATCTCTGCTGACAATTTTATAACATGTGATTCTTAATGCCACAGGAGCAAATTATCTTTCTGTCAAAGCTTTTAAAATTCCTCACTCTGCAAAATTCGTCACGTACAGGAAAAACTAGGGTTTCTAACACACAGAATAAATTCATCCCAGCAAAATTAATAGTAAGACAAGGTTTATGGAAAGCAATGCCCATCATAATATAGGCTACATGTGTAAAATTAGATAGCTCTCTAGAGAAAATTAAACAGTGTGGGTCACAAACCTTAGGTGAAAACGTGACTAAGAAGAGAGAAGAGGGCATTTCTTTAGAACATTGGATCTTGGAGTTGAGGCAGAGAAGTTCTTTGATGGTTGGCAGCAAAGCTTGTTTTTCATGGTTCCTAACTCTACTCCTGGCTACTGCTGAGACCTACTTTTGGTAAGAGGATATTTCCCAGATCTGCAAATTTCCTTGATTTTCTGTGTAGGTACTGGAATTTTATACTGCTTTTTATTTTTCTTACTAGGCATTTAAAATGACCAGTGGAATTATAGGGCGGGACAAAGTAGCTTTATAGTTGTGAGTACATGAGACAGAGTTTATTCTTGTATTATTATTTATTTATTGTAATAACTATAACATGCATGTCTTTTTGCATACAAACAACTGTAAATCTACTTTTGCCCACTCCTATACAGATCACCTTACAATTTACTATTGCCTTTAAGTCTACATGGGAATGAACAGGTCAACGCACATAAATCAATACAAAGAAGAGTAACATGAACATGTACTGTGGTGTTACCCTGTCCCAGGAATTGTGTGCTTTACACATAATACCTTAAAGAGCCAAGCTGCACAAAATCAATTAATTTCCCATTTAATTATTTTGTATGCTTGAAATTTTACATGTTGATATTTTAAATGATGATGAACATTTGTATTTCTAGATTTAATTTTAATTTCCATTTTATTAGCAAATATGTTGAGGAACAAAATTCTATCATCATCTTTTTATATATCTTGTTACACATATGTAAGAAACATAATAGGAACTCAAAAATATTTGTTGATCAATCCAACTTAAAGCTCCTATTTGTTTCTGGATTGCCTTTTTATTTCCTTGATGATCAGACTTTAGTGCTTCAGTGTTACCTCCCTTTCATGCCTTTTCTTAAGGCTCAGTATTAAGGAGTGTCTTTATGGCCTATAACTATGGGGAAAGGGTTAGAACAATATTCTGGATCTGTAAAGAAATTTGCCAGCATAGTTATGCCTGCCTTTCACTTGAAGACCAAACAGATGGTGGTTGAAACTACTGTTCTAGCTATGGGGATAGAAGAATCCCATTGCTGCTCTATGTCCTGAAAACAACATGCCAGAATTCTCATTCCTCCAATGCAAACAGAAAGGAGCAGTGTTGTCTAATTGTAAAATGTTAAATTATTAAAAATATGTAAATCCTCTAGGTTCCACCAAAAAATACTTGACATAATAAGTGAATTTGGCAAAATAGTGGAACACAAAGTCAATATTCAGAAATTGAAGGCATTTTTGTACACTAACAATGAACTATCAGAAACAGAAATTGGGGAGAAAAATCCTACTTACTACAGCAACAAGAAAAATAAGGTACCTAGGAATAAACTTAACCAAGGAGGCAAAATACTTGTACTCAGGAAACTATGGAACACTGAAGAAAGAAATTAAGGCAGGTACAAACAAATGAAAGCATATACCATGTTTATGGACCAGAAGAATTAACATCATTAAAATGTCCATACTACCCGCAAAGCAATCTACAGATTCAATGCAATCCCTTTTAAAATACCAATGACATATTTCACAGACTTAGAACAAGTATTTCAAAAATTTATATGGAACCAAATGACCCTAAGTAGCTGCAGCAATCTTGAGAAAGAAGAACAAGTAGGAGGGATCACAATACCTGATATCTAACTATATTACAAGGCTGCTATAATCAAAACAGTCTGGTACTGGCATAAGAATAGACACATAACTCAATGGAGGAGAATAGAGAGCCCAGAAATAAACCCATGTTTCTATGGTCAATTAATATTTGAAAAAGGGGACAGAAGCATAATGGTGCTGGGAGATCTGGCATCGTACGTGCAAAAAAATGAAACTAGACCACCAACTTAAACCATATACCAGAATAAACTCAAAATGGATAAAAGACTTAAACATAAGCCACCACACCATAAAAGTCCTAGAGGAAATCATAGGCAGTAAAATTTCAGATATCCCACACAGCAATATTTTTGCTGATACATCCTCTAGGGCAAGGGAAACAAAGGAAAAAATAAACAAATGGGACTATTTCAAACTAAAAAGCTTCTGCACGGCTAAAGAAAACATCATGAAAATAAAAAGTGGACCAACTGTATGGGAAAACATATTTGCCAATGATACCTCAGACAAGGGTTTGGTCTCCAAAATATATAAAGAA